TAATACCGAAGCCTTACTATCCATGAAACGCTGATTTACTGGCTTTTCCCCCATTAACTCTTTTCCAATGCTCTATGAGGTGGCCAGTGTTATTACTCTCATTTTACAGTCCGGAATTGGGGTACAAAGAGGTGAATTGAGGTGCCTAAGGAAGTGGTAAAGCTGGGGTCCCCCCTTTTACCTGCTACGGAGCTCTGTCACCTCACATAGAATCTTCCTGCCCTGGTGTGCACAGTGCACATTCCTGCCTCAGCAAGGAGACTAATGCAACTTGCCTCAGCTTGACACCATTCCTTCCTCCTCCCTGTTTAGCCAGTTCACAGCCATCCTGAGGGTCCAGCTCAAGCCTTACCTCCGGAAAGCATGTTCCAATTTGCCTGATTTGTGGGGCTCCCCCGCCTCCCCCGCCTCTCGGGTCCACTGTAGCATTGGTTCAAGCTAGGAAGCCTGTTTGTGCAAAGGCCCAAAAGTGTGTTAGAGGACCTGCAAAAGTTCAGGAGAGGCATGAAGGCAGAAGCAGGGGAGGGTGGTAGGGAGGGATAATGGTTTTGTTTAGACTTACCCTAGGGTAATGAGAAGCATGGAAGGGCCGTTGGTATGGCTTGATCAGAATGGCATTTGAGAAAGGTCACTGAACCTCAAATAACTGATTGGGGTTGACTGGGGTCAAATCTAAGGCTTAGGAGAATAGAAAAGAGGCTGCGTCTAGTGCGTAGGTGAGAGGAGGTGACCTGGATTCAGCTGGTGTGAGGGAGAAAGATGGGTCAGGAGACACTTGGTGACTGCTTAGATATGGAGGCTGTGACCTCTGATGTCAGACTTAAAGATCAGCAATTTTTAGATGCATTTCTTAAAAATAGACTTTATTTTTTAGAGCAGTTTTAGGGTTCCAAAAAAATGAATGGAAAGTAGAGAGAGTTCCCCTATGTGGCCCTTTCTCCACCTCCTCCTTGTCCCGCAGTTTCCCCTATTATTAACATCTTGCATTAGTGTGGGGCCTTTGTTATCACTGATAAGCTAATATTGATAATCATCTTAACTGAAGTTCATAGTTTACCTTAGGGCTCACTCTAAGTGCTGTACTCTTCTATGCATTTTGACACATATATAATGTCATGTACCCTTCATTAAAGTATTAAAGAGTTTCACTTCCGCAAAAAGTCCTCTGTGGCTCCGCCTACTTCTTGCTCCCTTCCTCCTAACCCCTGGGAACCACTGCTCTTTTTACTGTCTCTAGAGTTTAGTCCCCACCAGAATCACATATAATTGGAATCATGTCATACATAGCCTTTCCAGGTTGGCTTGTTTCACTTAGTCTGATATGCATTTAAAGTTCCTCCATGTCTTTTTGTGGCTTGATCCTTTCTTTTTTATTGCTGAGTAACATCACATTATATGGATGTACCACAAGCTTTTATGCATTTACCTACTGAAGGACATCTTAGTTGTTTCCAAATTTTGGCAAGCTGGAGCGGCTTTTTGTGCGAACATAAGTTTCTAACTCCTTTGGGTAAATACCAAGGAGTGTGACTGCTGGCTCATATGGTGGTTTTGTAAGAAACTGATGAACTGTCTTCCAGAATGACTGTATCATCTTACATCCCCCCCTCCCCGCACAAATGAGAGTTCCTGTTGCTCCACATCCTTGCCAGCATTTGGCGTTGTCAGTGTTCTGGATTTGGGCCATTCTTACAGATGTGTAGTGGCATCTCACTGTTTTCTGTTATTTTAAGTTTCATTTGTTTAAGTAATCTCTACACCCAACATGGGGCTCAAACTCAAAACCCCCGAGATCAAGAGTCACATGGTCTTCTGACTGAGCCAGCCAGGCGCCCCAGTATCTTATTGTTTTAATTTGTAATTCCCTGATGACACATGATGTGGAACATCTTTCATACACTCATTAGTCATCTTGATATCTTCTTTGGCGAGGTGTCTGTTCAGACCTTTTGACCATATTTTAATTGAGTTGTTTGTTTACTTATTGTCAAATTTTGAGTTCTTTAGACTCATTTCTTTATTGTTTACTTAGTGTGGGCCTTCTCTCTTCCCTTCACGTTTCCTCAGTTCTGCTCACTCCCGATTCCCACTTGTGATCTTTCTTCCTGCAGAGAGACAACTCACCATCAGAGAAGCAGGCTCTTTGCCCAGCAGCAGAAGAAAGGATGCTGTTAAAGCAGCTCAGACAGGGAAGTACAAGACATATTTTGAATACTTGGTTAAAAGCACTAAGTTTGATAAAGACACACACACACACACTCACACACTCACACTCTTTCAGCTGTAGATTTACACATACAATGGGAACTGTGAATGCCAGGTAGTGTATTTTTGTAGTCAAATGACTGGGAAAAGGGATGTATCCTACAAGGCTACAGAATAATCACCTGAATTGTTGCGAGCCTATCCTTTGGCCACTGAGGTGGAGTGCAGGGTGGGGTGTCAAAATATGGTGTTTCTCCCGATTGGATGGGGGCCCCAAAGGTGGGGCAATGATCCATTGGGTGGAAGCAAGCGGCGAGGGCAGTGAAAGGATTCACCAGAGGCAGAACAAAGGTGATAGAAGCTTACTGAATACACTGCAAGGTAGTGGTGAACAGGACAGCATAGGAGAGAGAGGCTGTCTACAAGGAGGCAGTGGGTTGGGGGCCTGCATTTAAAGGGGGAAGGTGAGGAGGTAAGGTGACATATGGAATTTTCCCTTTTTTGATAACTGTGCCTGGCTTTAAGTAAGTAGACCATCGGTCAGTTAGGGCCTATGGATATTCTGAGGTGGTTTCCTGAGGGGCCTGTCTTTATTCAGCCAGGTGGTCGCTGTGGGCCCTTTCTACATTCCACCATTCATGCCTATTTGTCTAAAAGTAGCCTCTACACAGAGGTCTGATTTAACTAGTAAAGTACTTTAGGGATAAAGCTCAGAATGGTCGATTGAAGGGAACCCTTGAGAGGCTATTTTATTTTAGAGTGACAGGGGAGCCACTGAGGGTTATTGAGCAGGAGTGGAAAAGGATCAGGCGGCTGCCTTCCGTAGCCTATGCTGATTAGACAGTAATTATGCATAGTCCCTGAAATGTCACCAGGGTTAAAAAAAACAATTGGAGCCTAAATGCTCCATCTTAGGAATTCCCCAACCCCCCCTTCCCTCTTTACAAATTGGGGTTAATTCTTTCCTCCAAAACTGATGTGAGGATTATAGGAGATAGTATGTAAAGTATCTAGCATTATCTCATTTAATTCTTTTTTTTTTTTTTAATTTATTTATCTGAGAGAGAGAATGGGAGACAGAGAGGATGAGAGGGGGAGGATCAGAGGGAGAAGCAGACTCCCTGCCGAGCAGGGAGTCCGATGCGGGACTCGATCCCGGGACTCCAGGATCATGACCTGAGCCGAAGGCAGTCGCTTAACCAACTGAGCCACCAAGGCGCCCTATCTCATTTAATTCTTAAGACCACCCTTCCTCATTTATTTCTCATGACTCATTTAATTATTTTATTTCATTTAATTCCGACCTCCTTGGAACTCTGGGGTGTGGAGGACTAGGACCCGGGGCTGCTTTACCAGGCTCTCACCTCCAGGCTTTTCTTATTTGGTCTATCACTGACGACAACCATGACGATAATAATTTTTAGGAGAGGCCAGGCAATTTGTTAAGTGCTGTACATGCATCAGCTCACTTAAACCCCACAAAATTAATATTCCCAATTAGCTGATACGGACACAGATTCAGACAGCGTACTTTGCCCAAGGTCACCCGGCAATTAAATGAGGCAAGCAAGGCTTGTATTCAAACCCTGGCTTATCTAGCTAACACCCGTGCTCCTAACCATTAACTATACAAGGGCGGCTTTCCAAGCACTTTGTCAGGTCTTCTATTGGAGTATGACAGCATAGCACTGGAATCAGGCTCACCAGTTAGTCTCTCCCACTAGACTGAGTCTCTGAGGCCAAGAACTTGTCTCAGTCCCCTTTGCTCCCCCAGCACCTTGCACGGTACTTGGCACACATTGGGCTCTTAAATCGGTCTTTCTGCAAATACTTAGGGCATGTTTGCTATGAACACGTGCTACACTAGTCCTAGGGAAATATGACAGTCTTGCCCACAAAGACCCCTTCAGTACCAATACAGAGAGAATATAATTTTACCATTGGGTAAGCATTATCATAGTTACATGCACGTAAGGTACAAGCGACTGCCAAGTCTGGACAGGATTTCACGCAGATGCATAGAGAAAAGCAAAGAGAACAATTAAAACTTCCTTCTCAAGAACAAGAGGATGCACCTTGTGACTGACCCTAGTGTTTCTCGCGAAAAAGACATTTCCCTTGAGTTACTTCCCTAGGTAATGTTTACAGCTCCAAGGGTTAGAAGGCCCACAAACTGCATTGCAGTAGAGATGACGCCTTTTGTCGGGTTTATTAAATTCTCAAGGTAACACTTCCCGGAAGGAGGGTTAGGTAGGCAGCTGCACCCCTCCTGAAAGAAAACTGCATTTCTGCAACCTTGCACTAGTCACCGGGGTCGCAGCATTAGACTAGGACTTGCTCCCTTGGCGCTGACATTCCCATATGATTTCAGACAGCGGCAGGTGGTCTGGGGGAGAGGAGGACCATTTCCGGCAGATAGTTAAAGCCTCTACGAAGTGTTGATCTTGAGCTGGAATTTGGGAACTTTAATGTTTAAAGAACGGATGAGTGACGAATGACCATCGAGCTCGCGGTTGCCCAGAAGCTAAAGAACGTCTATGGCGTCAGAATCGTAATGAAAAGGAGAAAGGGAAAAGAAACACTCAGGATTGTCGGAGAACGGCATTTTCGGAGCAACCAAGATCGAACAGGGATTCCCGCTCCAGTCTCCAGCGCCCAGGAGGGGCGGACCGGCGGCTCCGGGGCCACGGCTGGGGGCGGGGCCACGGCTGGGGGCGGGGCCACGGCTGGGGGCGGGGCCACGCGGGGGCGGGGCTACGGAAGCCGAGCGGGCTGCGAGGCGTTTGGCTGAGGAAGTGCGCGCAGGCCTGCGGCGCTGGGCGGGCTCAGGCCCTCCCCCGCTGACCCTCCGCTCTCCCCACCCACGCCCGCGCTTATATCCGCCCTCGCCGCCGTTCCCGGGGCGGAGACGCAAGCTTTTAGTCGCTCGGCGGCTCCGGTGGGTTCAGTGGCGTGAGGGGCTCACTGCGGCGTGTGGTCGGCGCCGCCTGGCCCGTTGCGCGCCCACCCCCGCGGCCGGCCGTTGGGGGGATTCGGGCTTCAGCCGAGCTCCTGCGGGTGTTCCCTGGCCGGTCCGGGGGATCCGGGCACCGCTTCGACGGCGGGTTCGCCGGCGCCGCGGACCGGGTGGCAGCCCGAGCCCCGGGCGGACGGCGTCATGAGGCACCTGCCGTACTTCTGCCGCGGCCAGGTGGTGCGGGGTTTCGGCCGCGGCTCCAAGCAGCTGGGCATCCCCACAGGTGAGCGCGGAAGGTCGCGGCCCCCCCCCCCCCCGGCGCACCCGCCTCCCCCCTCGGCTCCCGCGGTTGGGTCAGCTGGGAGCCGCGACGTCAGACGCGGGACTTGGGGCTGCGGGCGGAGGTGACGCCCTCTCCTCTGCGTGGTTCTTGCTTTGTTGAGGCGGAGGATCTTTGTTCGGATTGAGGAAGCGCGTCCTTATCCACCGCTCGGGGCTCACCGGGGACCCGGCTCGAGGGGCGGTGAGGGCAGAAAGCCGAGCAGAGTTCCGGGGATCTCCCTTTCCCGCCTCCCTCTCCAGCCAGGCTGGAGCTGCCAGGCATGGCACGCGTCATCCCGGTTAGGAAACGTAATGTGAACCAGATTGGTTGAATTTCCAAGCCAACTGTCACGGGTTTTTTGTTGTTGTTGTTCTCTTTGTATGTCTTGTTAGCAATTGGATGAGGATCAGATACCTTTTTTGGTCTGTCTGTATTCGGTTCAGTAGTCAGGACCTGACTGTGTGAATAATTCATCCTTAAAAATACATCCCAGGGTTGTCCCTATCTTTGAGTTTGGGACCCAGCCACGTATATTTTGAAAATAAGAATCGTTTCAAGAGATTCTGAATCTCCTTAAGAAAGACTAGGTCTAAAAAGCCCCCGCTGTTCATGCACCTGTTTTCATCTACCTCGAGAGTGTGTCTGTGTTTTTGTTTTTTGTTTTTTTGGAGAGCTTTATACATTTAATTGTTCTTAACCTAGCCACGTGAAGAGGAGAAGAAAAAACCCCAAAAAACCCAAGCCAGACTGTAGAATGGTGAGATTGATAATCATAGGTAGGATTCCGGGAAACTTACGAGCATAACAATTTAGGCTAGCCTTCATGCGATTTTTATAAATATTTGCTGTGAAACTGTTAACACTCGGAATATTTATTTCTGTTATTTAGCTAACTTTCCGGAACAAGTAGTTGATAATCTTCCAGGTGATGTATCCACTGGCATTTATTATGGCTGGGCCAGTGTTGGAAATGGAGAAGTTCATAAGATGGTGGTGAGCATAGGATGGAACCCATACTACAAGAATACAAAAAAGTCTATGGTAAGAATTATATTTAGCTCTATCACTGAAAATGGGATGGTAATTTAAGGTGATATTCAGTATTAGATGCACACAGAAATCATCAGTGGTACTCACAGATTGGCCAAATTACTAGAATTTTTGGCAGTTTTCTTGAAGGATTTTCAAGTCAAGGGTTTAGTTACTGTTTGGATTAACTCTTCATCCTTTCACTTTCAATGTGTTTGTGTCTTCAGATCTAAAGTGAATCTTAGAAAATAAAGTGAGTCTCTTGTAAAAGGGGAAGTATAATTGGATTGTGCTTTTTGATCATTGTTAATCTCTGCCTTTTCGTTGGAGAGTTCAGTCCATTTACATTTAAGCTAATGACTGGTAAGGAGGGACTTCTGCCATTTTGCTGTTTTCTATAGGCCTTACAGCTTGTTTGTTTGTTATTGCTTCCATTACTGCCTTTTGTTTTTTAACCTTTTTTTTTTGTAGTGACACATTCTGATTTCCTTATTTCCTTTTGTGTACTTTCTATAGAATTTTTTTGTGTGTGCGGTTACCATGAGGAGTGCATTTAACTTTCTACAGTTATAAAATCTAATTTGGATTTATGACAATTTTGATAGTACATAAAACTCACAAATTACATCCTTATACATTGTGTGCCCAGTAACATACAGTAATATTTTTATGCATATATCTTTTAAATCACGTAATAAATAAAAAGTGGAGTTTCAAGCCTAATTGTAATAATATTTTTTATAGCTGTCCATGTGTTTACCTCAACTGGAGATAAAAGTGAATTACCTGGGGCACCTGGGTAGCTCAGTTGGTTAAGCGTCTGCCTCTTGATTTCGGCTCAGGTCATGACCTCAGGGTGGTGAGATGGAGCCCCTCGTCAGTTCTGTGCTGGGCGTGGAGCCTGCTTAAGATTTTCTCTCTCCCTCTCCTCCCGCATTCCCCTTAAAAAAAAAAAAAGTGAAATACCTAAGAGCATGTTTGATAAAATTGAGCTTGCTACAGTTAATATAGTTCATTCACCCTTTAATTAATTGCTCATCCTGCTAAGATAGAAATGCTTTCTTCATAGATGGTGCTTTCTAATAAAATTGCGAGGTGATGCTTTTTTTTTTTCCTCGCAAACTACTTTGAGGGTGTACCCTTCTCTTTTCGTAGTACCCATGCCACTTAAGAGCTTAATCTGCTAGATAGGGCTGGATCTTGGTCAGGTTAAGTGTGTGGCAAAAACGAGTAGGTCTGGGGGCGCCTGGGTGGCTCAGTCGTTAAGCGTCTGCCTTCGGCTCAGGTGATGATCCCAGTGTCCTGGGATTGAGCCCCTCATCGGGCTCCCTGCTCGGCGGGAGGCCTGCTTCTCCCTCTCCCACTCCCCCTCCCCCTGCTTGTGTTGTTCCCTTTCTCGCTGTGTCTCTGTCAAATAAATAAAATCTTAAAAAAACAAAAACAAAAACGAGTCGATCTAAATTTCGTCCTTTTTGAAGGGTTTGTAGAAGTCTGTCACAGTTGGAAAACCACAGGGCTAAATCCTGGTACAAACAGAAACGGTGCAGAATTGCTTAACATTGTGTTCAGTATTTCTTAGTTTTGAGTATTAAGGATGTGGAAATTATTTGGAGTAGATAAGGAAAAGAACTAATAAAAGAACACAAAATAGTGTTCTGTAGATGGGGAGGAAATGAAGAGTAGAGGGAAAGCTATTCCGTGATAAATTTCAGGTAACAGGACTATTACTGTAGCGAGCCAGTGAAGGAATGCCTTCCAAGTCCTGCCAGAGTTAGAAGAAACTCAGTTTTCTATTGGTAGGAGGTTCATACTCTTGAGGTTTTCTTTTTCCTTTTCTTGCCAATATCAGATATCTATGATGTGCCTGTTGAAGTCTTTTCCCCTTGTAAAACAAATTGGATTGGCTGTTTTAATTGACTTAAAGAAGTTCTTTAGTATGTCCTAGATCCGCTTCCTTTGTTGGGATATGTATGCAGATATTGTCGCCTTCTGTGTTGCTTTTTTTGGTTTGTTTTAATGGAGTGGTGTCTTTTGAAGAGCAGAGGTTCTTAATGCTAATATAATCCAATTCATCATTTCTCTTTTATGGTTTAGTGCCTTTTATATCCTGTTTAAGGAATCTTTGCCTACTCCAAGTCATAAAGATACCTTTGTTTTCTTCTAAAAACTTGTCTTAAACTTTTCTCATCAAATTGATTTTTGAGTATGGTGCAAAGTAAGGGTCAAAATTCATTTTTTCCCATTTGGATACTGACTCAGCCCATTTCTTGAAATACCATTCTTTCATGACAGCACTGCACTGTCACCTTGGACATAAACCCTGTGACTTTATATGTGTGAGAGTCCAAAATGTGCTCATACAGACTTGGTCTCCTGATCTGTCTTTGGGCCATTACCACATTGTCTTTATTTTCATAGCTTTTGTAATAGGTCTTGATTTCTGACTGTGTAAGTCCTCTACTTTTATTTTCAAGATTTTGGGGGGATAATTTCAACCTTCTACATTTCCTTATAAATTTTGGAATCACTTGACAGTTTCTGTCATTAAAAAAAAAAACAACTAGGATTTTGACAGGGGTGGCATGGAATATGTAGATGAATTTAGGAAGAGTAGACATCTTTACCATTTTTCTCAGTAATGTTTTATAATGATCACTGTTGATGCTTCCGTCTTAAGTATCACTTCATATATTAGATTTTCTTAAGTCCTACACAAAATATGCCTCTATCACTAAGTTTCATGTTTCCAGATTGTTTAAACTTCTCAACATCCAGTGCCACCATCCTAGTCCAGTCTCAACCATCTTCTGTATTTGTTTGTTCTCTTAATTGGCTCTCCTGCTTTTGGACTTAGATTTCTTTGTAAAAGTCTACTAAAAATCAGATTGCAGAACATCATCTACCTCCTCCACCATTTTGCTTCGACATGTCCCGTACCCATTTGTCAACATTGTTCCTTGATCAGGATCCTGCGTTGGCTCTTCTGCCTACATGTCAGTCTTCACTTCTGCCTAACCCTAGGAGGTTTCTGTAATGTGGTGTGTGTCAGGGACACATGGATCCTGATTAACCTTAGAAATGGTTCTTTTTTTTTTTAAGATTTTTTATTTATTTGACAGACAGAGAGAGAACACAAGCAGGGGTAGTGGGAGAGGGAGAAGCAGGCTTCCCCCTGAGCATGGAGCCTGATGTGGGGCTCGATCCCAGGACCCTGGGATCATGACCTGAGCCGAAGGCAGACACTTAATGACTGAGCCACCCAGGCGCCCCTATTTCTTCTTTTTTTTTTATTATTATGTTACGTTAATCACCATCTATTTCTTCTTAAGCAAGTTTTGATAGTATGCCTTTTCAGAAATGTGTATTTTTTTTTTTAATTTTTAATTATTTGAGAGAGAGAGAGATCACGAGCAGGGGGGGGAAGGGCAGAGGGAGAAGCTGACTCCTCGCTGAGAGGGAGCCCAATGCAGGGCTCGATCCCAGGACCCTGGGATCATGACCTGAGCCGAAGGCAGACGCTTAACGATTGAGCCACCCAGGTGCCCCAGAAATGGTTCTTTTAATAGTAATCGCTCTTAATACTTTGCTCCTTACTTGGTGCTGTTTGTTTTTTGTGTTTTTTTTTTTTTTTTTTTGCCTTGATAAGACTTAATTACTCCGCATGTTAGTTTTTTTAAGGATTTTATTTTTAAGTAATCTCTGCACCCAACGTGGGGCTCAAACTCAGAACCCTGAGATCAAGAGATGCATGCTCTACCGACTGAGCCAGCCAGGTGCCCCTGCATGTTAGTTTTTTGGTTTTTTTTTTTAAGATTTTATATATTTGAGAAAGAGGGAGAACACAGAGGGAGAGCGAGAGGCATACTCCCCGCTGAACAGAGATCCTGACATGGGGCTCGATCCCAGGACCCTGGGATCATGACCTGAGCCAAAGGCAGATGCTTAACCAACTGAGCCACTCAGGTGCTCCCCCCCCCCTTTTTTTAATAAACAGCAAATCATACCAGATTTGTGGTATAACATCTGCCTTACTCAGTTACAATGTTTACATGTAAGGTCAGGGGCAAGAACAGGACTGATGGAAGAATTCAGGAAAAAACTGCACTTAGATTTTAACCTGTCTTTAAAAATTTTGTAAGGGTTGATTGTTTCATTTAAATTATCCCCACCATAAATGTGGAGACATATTTCAAATTTCAGGTATTCTTTAATTTGATGGTAACTTTTTTAACATTTCTTAATTCTAGGAAACTCATATCATGCATACCTTCAAAGAGGACTTCTATGGGGAGATCCTTAATGTGGCCATTGTTGGCTACCTCAGACCAGAAAAGAACTTTGATTCTTTAGGTAAGTTCTGTTTAGGTCTTAAATATTACTGCAGCTCCTTCTACTGCTTCTCCTAGTAACAGCGTGGCAGGAGAGCGAACATTTGAGCATTTACTGTGTGCCTTACATGCATTAAGTCCTTTCACCCCCACCAAAATATATGAGGAATTATTTTGCCCATTTCACAGATGAGGAAATTGGCAGAGAGGGATTAAGTAATTTGCTCAGGGTCACATCAGTATGTGATGGAGCCTAGATTCAAACCCAGCAGGCTGGCTGCTTCTCTCCCAACAGTGTGAAGTTAGTGAAATCTTTATTTCCTTTTCATATTTTAAGGAATAAGTGGGAATGAATGCTGAGATGAATAATGGATGCTTTGCAATGCTTAAAGTGTACGAAACTAAATCGATACTTGAAACTAATGGTATCAAGGATGTTAGTGTAGTGTGGTTGTGTCAGTTCTCTAGAATTTGACAAATGTGAATACTGAAGAGGCTTGGTCACGGGTATTTCTTCCATTTGGTATTTGTGACATACCTTTGTGCTAATGCCTTTCTCTAAGAAATCGCGAGAAGATCAGGGACATCTCTTGTGGACCGTTGACTTTTACTTAAGTCTGGAAGAAGGGATAGAACAAACATTTATCAGGCATCTGCCCTGCGCTGAAGACGCTGCCAGCCTTCGGGTTTTCAGGAGTCCGAACAAAGGCGTGGCAGCAGTTTTTCATCATTTCCCTGCTCTCTTCTCTCCACAGAGTCCCTTATTTCAGCAATTCAAGCTGATATTGAGGAAGCTAAGAGACGACTAGATTTACCAGAACATTTGAAATTCAAAGAAGACAATTTCTTCCAGGTTCCTAAAAACAAAATAATGAATGGCCACTGATAAAAAAATCATCTTATTTATTCATTCACGGTTTTCTAATATTTTACTGCTTATAACTCCTCAGTCGTTCTATTTTGAAAATCAAACATTTTCCTACAGCTGTGAATTAGTTTAAACAGTACAGTGTCTTTACCACATTATGTTTCACCCATTCAAATTAAACCCATCATGCTATAGTACTAAAGTGATCCATTTTGAAAATCAAGATTCTTTTTTATGTAATATGTTGATTAAAATGTACCACTAGAAAGGTCTTAGGTGTCTTAGAATGGAAATGAAAATGTATATAAGTATGGGTAAAAAGGCAAGTCACTAGATTTGAGATGAGAACTAATAATTCTCATGGTACATAGTAGTACATCTGTACTTGTGCAGTAAGTTCTGCTAAACAGAGGAGGCTTATGAAAGTAAATGTATTCCGCAGAGGTTTGAGAGTTGATTATAAACCTGAGGGGAAAAATCCAGACTTTATATTTTTGATAATTTGTGGGTTACTATATTATTGCAAACATGTAGACGTGTGAATTTTTTTTTTCCCCTCTCGTGTGAAGTTGCATTGTTGTTAGTCATTTCCTTTATGAGGTCAAATCATTGCACTGTGTTCCATTTTGTTTTACAGCTGCCTCAGTTCTAATTGGAGACTCCCCCTCCTGATCATTTTGTTTACCTCCTGAAGCGGTAAAATGAGTATTTTTCTAATCTCTAGGTCTCATTTTTATGTTGTATAGCACTTCTCCATTTTAGGGGTCGACGTTCATTATTTTTCTTGACTTTGGTTCTTTTTTTCCTTGAAACAATTGTCCGTGGTTTTTTTTATTCTATCCCATTTAGAATACCTTACAACTGTTCACTTAGACAAAAGATTGCATCTATAGCTACCATTCCATCCCTTCACTATATAAGCAGTGATTAAGTGTGTATCCATATTGCATTTTAGGAAAAATATCCCCAAAACTTCATTAGGTTTCCTCAAGTTTAAATGAGCACACAGCAGTTCATTTGTATATACCATTTTCTTAAAGAACACAAAACATTTGTTTTCCCCCTAGGGAAGCCATCTAAGAACCCATTAAGTTATGGAAGTTATTTATTTTTAATGCAATTACATGTTCCTGAGCAAATGTAAACTGTTGTAGCTGTGTACGCACAATGCTAAGCAGTGCTTTGTGGCTTGGGGGAAAGGCATAAATAATAAAGTTTTAGTTACATAATCCTCATACTACGCATTTTTTCTTCCTCCTGATTAAGAAGTAATTTTTGGCGACTTGAGACTCTTATTTGTATTGGCAGGAAGTTGAAATCTTTGGGTATTTAGGAAATTAAGATTACAGATTGTTTGGGTCTCCTGAAACAGTACCTTTCATTATTGTTCACTTAAGCACCAGATTTAGTGTGGGGAAAGGGAGCAGAAGTATAGAGAAGGTAATTTTAAAAGTAACTCATTATAAATCATTTTCCCTGATCTGCATACATAGAGAACAGATATTAAGAAAAATATAAAGTATTTAGAAAAACACCTAAAACATCTGGAGAAAGGGGAAGCATGAATAAATTCAGTTGGATTGTGTTTTACTTCTTGGTATATGAATTTATGGCATACAATGTAGTATGTGTCTTTCTTTTATAAAAAGACTTAGAAAATGTAATTTAATGTTAGAGATCCTATACTTGAAAGAAGCCGCGATTATTAGTGGCTTTTATAAAGCAAAGACAGAAACAGACATGGAAAGTGTAAAAACAGATTTGTGTGTGTTTGAATAGCCTGCTGCTAATTATGTCCTCATTAAGTGTGTGAAGTCTTGGATATTGTCACCTGACAACTTGAAAATCGTATATTGTGAGGTTTAAGAGTGAGTTAATAGTGTCTATACTTCTCTTAAAGTTTTGTATTAAGTATGTATTATAAGAAATGGCAGTAGTATCATTTTTGATTAATCTGATTTCAGGCCTTGAAATAAATCTAAATGATGTTTCTTTCCCTGTGTCAGTTTGAATCTTTTGCCCTGTCTGTGTGTAGGTTCCTCATGTGCCGGCTGGTGGTCCCTTGCCAGTGTGTTCGAGAGTCTGACTGGCAAGTTGCAGTTGGCCGCTCGAGGGGAACCTGCCGTGCAGTGGTAGTTCTAGAACCAGGGGCTTTGCCTTGACAAGCTCCTGTTGATGCCCTGCAGCACAGGTTTATTTGGAGAGCATTCTAATTTATTTTTTTTTAAGATTTTATTTATTTAGAGAGCACAAGCTGGGGGAGCACGGGGCTGGATCCCACGACCTGAGCCAAAATCGAGAGTCAGACCCTTAACCACCTGAGCCACCCCGCCGCCCCTGGAGAGCAATCTATTCACAGGGTTCCCAAAAGTCTACTTCTCTGAGGGTGAGCGTCCCCATTGTATTTTGAGTCCTAAGAGCCAGAGGAATAGAATCTGAGTTCCCTTCCGTAACTCCTGCTCCAAAACGATTCTGCAGTCTCAGTGACTAGCAGCCCCTGGGAAGGCCTGCTTGTGTCCGGCGTATGCAGAGGGACACGCTGCTCTTTCAGCACCTGTCCAGCACTATCCGCACTGGGGGCTTACACGTTTGCAGCTAGGGCTGCTATTGGAACAGCTGGGATCAGGGAGACGTAAGCCGGAAGTTTACCAGAACTCAGGAGGACAGTTTTGCTTTCCTTTTCCTCAAAAGTGCTAGCCTTTTCCTGTCTCCCCGCCCTGTAAATAATAAGTAAAGGTGCCCTGTAAAGAGATGCCATCAGAAGCAAGAGTTAGCAGCAAGGAATTCTAGAACAAGCTCTACAAAGATGACAGATACAGGGATTATCAGATAGAATTTGACATGACTTGAATATGTGTAAAGAAGTGAGTGTTAAAAATGGTAGAATGAGGGTCTATACAAATTGGATGGAGGGGAGGTAGGTGGGGGATGAAGAAATAAAGGGGATTAAGAGGTACAAACTTTCAGTGGTAAGATAAGTCACAGAGATGAAAAGTATAGCACAGGGAATATAATTAATAAAATATGAGGACAGATGGTGACTACACGTAACCGTGGAGAGCACTAGTAACGTACAGAATTGTTGAATCCGTATGCGGTACGCCTGAAACTAATATAACGCTATGTTAATTTAAATACATTATAGCTTTATTAGGGTATAACTGACATAACAAATTGCACGTATTTGAATTGTATGACTTGGTAAGTTTCGATATATGGATACATACTTGTAAAATCAATGTCAGGATAATAAATATCACTCCACCCCCCCCAAAAAAAACCTGGGGAGAATAAGCATGAATTTAAAGTGGTATTCATATCTTCAAATCTGGAATGTCCAGGTGAATTTAAATGTTTACTCTTTTAGTTGGAGGTGTAGATGATTACAAGATGCCAACGCTGGATGGGAAGTTAATTTTTGTGCCCCCCTCCCCAGCTTCATATGTTGAAGTCTTAACACCCAGTGTGTGAGCAGGTGGGACCTTTGGTGGAGGGTGGAGCTGTCATGAATGGGATTGCCCTTATAGAATGTTACCCCAGAGAACTTTTCGTTCTTTCTGGCCCGTGAGGACACAAGGAGAAGTCAGCAGTCTGCAACCTAGGAAGCATCTCATCAGAACTTGACCATGCTGGCTCAGACTTGCAGCCTCCAAAACTGCGAAAAATAAGTTTCTGTCCTCTTTAAGTCACCCAGTCTGGGGTATTTTGTTATAGAAGCCTGAACAGACAGAGGAAACCTGATGTGAAGCTTAAAATAGATGGCCTCCTCCTTCCCTGCACTCCTCTCCCTTCTCCCGTTCCTCCTCCCCCGCTCCTCCTCTGTCTCCCCCTCTCTTCTCTAATGGAAACAGGTGTGAGCCATTGGGTTGGGAGTGAAGCAGGTACAAAGGCATCATCTATAAAATATTTGTAATGTTTTGCTTTGGAACTAGATTTGAGATGTCAAATTGCCGTCCTCCAGGAGATTAGTCCTTATTGTGTTCTTAAAATCAGTGCTGTAAACCAGTACCAGTCCTGTGGGTTACCCAGCACAGTGGGAGAGCAGAGCTGCTGGAGGGTATGGGGAAGGGGTGGGTGCCAGTCCCTGTACAGTCTTGAGCTCTCACTATTGCTATCTGTGGGAGACCCTCATTTTTTTTGCTGGAACTTCCAAGTTTATTAAAGGCTCTCCAACCAGTACGGAATTGCTATCAAATGAAGTTTTTTGTTTTGTTTTCAAACCTCTCCCGAACCCAACAAAACCTAATACTACTACTCTGAGATTTCCACATATTTCAAAACTAGGACTTTCCCTGGCCCATAGCCTGACAAGCTGGGCCTGTTCTCTACCGTTTCGTATAGAACTCGTTTGAGTACTTCTTTCGAGGTTTTAGAAGATGGAAGGAAATGTTATCTTGGATTCCCTCCCCTTAAAATTTCTTTTCTTCATTCCTTTTTACAGTCTTGCAAAAGGATGGATGATAATGAAGTATCTGTTATTGTCACAGCTTCACTACACTGAGGATATCATGGTTTTTGTAAGAGCACAGTTTTAAAAGTCAAACGCAGGTAACTGGGTGCACATTGAGCGTTCAAAAGAAGAGTAAGGACCCAGTGTCTCACCATAGAGAGTCAAGATACGAGTGGTTACATTCCATCTAGGAACAGAGATAAATTTTAGCTCTTGTAGCAACAGGAACTTCAGTGTGCTTTTACTTATATCATTTCAAGGTTCTTCACGGTAAGTCTGAGCCATCTAGCTAGATATTGTTACCACTCTTCAAATGAAGAAATGAAAACATCAACTCAGTCCAACTCAAGCTGTGTAGGAAGAAAGTTTCAGAGCTGGGTGTTGCAGCCCAGCCTATTTCAAGAGGGAAACAGTCTTTACAGACTGAGCCTTATAGCAAGTTATTTTACTTCCCTGTGGCTTAGAGTCTTATCTGTGAAACAGGGGTAAAAACAGTGCCTGCCTCATAGGGTCGTTATGATGATTATAAGGTTTAAACAAACTGATCCATGCAAAGTGCTTCCAATAGTCCCGGAAACCCAGTGCTGGTTACTTTTGCAAGGTGGTTATTTCTTCCTCGGGCCAAAGATAACATTGCAACTTTAAGAACACAGCGAACTCTTCCCTAGATTATATGCAGAGAGTCTACTTTTGGTCAGCGGTAGACAATGCTTTCTGTGAGCAGAAAATGTATGCACAAATATTTATGGAGCGACTACTGTGTGTTGCCTACAGGCAGTCTCCCAGAGAAATTCCAGTTTATTTGACTTTATCATCCTCACCTCCGTGTGGCTCCTGGTATATTTTAGGTCTCTGGGAAATAGGGGATTTAAGTGCATTTCCCAGGAAGGAATCATGGACTCTCCTTACCTCACCCAGTTGCAGTAAATAAAGGAGCATCACGTTCCTTCATTTTTTCCAGTACCTTCCAAATGTGGAAGAAAAAGCAGCCCTGGAGACTTTCCTGCAGATGCCAAAGGTCTCCAAAAGCCAGCATTTCAGGAAAAGATGAATTTGCTCTTGTATACATCCTCTGGTGTTTTATTTCACAGTGTTTACTGAAAAGAGTTTTCAGGAAAAGAACGAGAAAGGAAACAGATGGTGCCAAATGAGAGTGGTGAGTCCGATTTCTCCACTCTGCTGGCTCAGAGCAGCTGAGAAGCCGGCAGGAAAAAGAGTGGGGGATGTGCTGTGCTCTCGGCTCTCCCTTCCAGCATTGCCAGCCCCTCGGCTCTGTAAACAGAGCTCTGATGTCACAAGCCCAGGGAGGTCACGCCAGGTGAGCACAGCCAGCCCTTCCTCCTGCCCTCTCCTGCCCTTCCAAGGGTGACCGAGACTTCTGAGCAGCTGGCAGAGGAAATGAACAAATTGACAGGGTGGGCTCTTTCTTGGTTTCATTTGTAGCCCAGAGGGAGTGAAACCAGGAGGGAAAAAAAAAAAAAAAAGGCTGAGTTGGGACCAAGTAAAGCCCTTCCCTACCCATTGCCTGGGAAGGAGTATATAGCCGCACCCAGGGGAGGCCCCAAGTCAGCATCACCCCCAAAGGGCCAAGAACCATCTTTAAAAACGGCACCAGGAGGAGTTTATACTTCAGCTGGTGCGCAGTTTACAAATACAATCCAGGAGGAACAGCCACGACCGAGACCTCAGATGACACGCCAGCGTCACACAGGCTAAGATAAGAACGCAGATAGCCTCGGAGGGGAGAGCGGCTCTCTTTCAATGCAGCTTCTCATGTCAGAAAAGAGATTCTCCTTCTACACCAAGCCACCTTCCTTGAGGGGTTTCCTTAAGGCTCCGTGTTCTGTAGCTCTTAAAGAGCTCTTCTTCCCTCTCCTCCGACCCTACCAGCCTTGTATCTAAATTCTTTGACCTCCTGGCAGGTGGAGGTAGATGCAGCAACTAATGCATCTGGCAAGCCTGGCATGGCTCTGAAGATACATGGAAATCAGGCTCAGCTTCAGGGGCGAGCCCCCTACGCAGTCACACAGGGCTTGCGGCTTAGTGGGGCAAGGGCCCCAGGCTCGGATTCCGTGCTCTCCTGCTCACTGGAATGCTTCGGTTTTACACCGGGCCCCACAGATTATGTGGCTGCCCAGTTTTGTGAGAAACCCCCTCCAGATGGTTGGCCTGAGGATATTGTTTGATTTCTCCCCGTTTCTACCATGTGACAGCACAGGTGAACAGAGGAACGATAACCTTGGTGTAGCACCTTCCAGCTTACAACAGACTTTCCCATGCATGAGGTCATTTCCTGCTCACCAGCAAATGTACGGAGACAAGCCTATGTAAGGCCACCGGAGATCCAGCTACAGGGGACGAAACTGATCGATTTCACAGGCAAACAGCTCTTTTTTTTTTTTTTTAAAGATTTTATTTATTTGAGAGAGAATGAGAGAGAGCACCTGAGAGGGGGGAGGGTCAGAGGGAGAAGCAGACTCCCCACCGAGCAGGGAGCCCGATACGGGACTCGATCCAGGGACTCCAGGATCATGACCTGAGC